AATAGACCCCAAAACAGCCCCAACAGGGGCCAAAGAGAGGTTACACGAACCAAAACTCTGAGCCTTCTGCCCCAAGAGGCACCCAGGAGGCCCCAAGGGGCGCCCAAGAGGCCACAAAGAGGCCACAAAGAGGCCCCCAAGAGGCCCCGAAGAGGCCCCAAGACGGCCCCCAAAAGCCCTCCAGACTGCCTCCAAGAGGCCCCCGAGAATACTCCCACGAAATCCCAACGAGCATCCAATAGGCTTCAACGCGCAAAAGTATGTACCCCGCGTCGATCGTGCAACCTTGAACCGATCGCGGCCCCGAACGTCAAGGTTGAATCTCGTCGGGTCCCGTGGTGTTACTGTGTCCTTCGTTGCTGCCGCGTCGCTCTGTCGTGCGAAATCCAACCTTGAACGTGTTCGCCGGCATTGCCGGCGAGCCATCTCCGCATGCACTGCACTTACCGTATCTGGATGAGCCGACGTGCCCTTCTGCATATTTGAATAGATGCATGCGTGTCTGCATGGCCGCGCGCACTCATGCCTACATGGCTGCTCTGTGTCGAATGGCACCCCAGCACGGCTACAGACAAATCTGGTTCGAATGGCCGTAAGCGTTCGCGAATTGAGCTGGTGGCCGGCTCGTGCAGTGGCACGTCCATGTCAGGACGGCTGCTGAGAAATCGCACCTCAGGCCTCGAGCTAGGCATCCTCGCGCAACAACGGCCGCACACGACGACAAAAAAGACATACGGAATCGGTCACTCAAGCTGGCGCACGAGAGGTCTTCGATGAAAATACCATCACCCAGACTTGTACGTTGAAGGCTAAACGCATCCCCCTCCTTGACCCTACCCTGTCTTAATGCGCAGTGGCAGCAGCAAGGGCACGCAGTCGTCCGAAAGAGACAGAGGCCAAGATTGCTGAGGCGGTGCGGTTGGAGCCCCATGGTGATAGCGGCGGAGCGCCCGACCAGAAGGGACGCCACGCAGTGCAGCAGTACCTGTCCCGGGCTCAAGATGCTGCTACCCGTAGGTCGGGCATGTCCCCCTACAGGCAGATCTTGGGCGAACGAACATACTCAAACATTACTCTGGCAACACTCCGAAATAATAGACAAATCATTCCCATCCGATGTTTTGGCTATTTTTCAACACTCCTCCTGCAGAGGGATGTGCCCGGCTTCACGCTGCCCACGCAAGCTCATCATGAGGAGAGGCGCGGCCGAGAGGCAGCCACCGTAGCCAGAGCGGGCGAGCAGGGAACGTGAGGAACGCGCTCGGGCGGGATACAGGAGTGCGGCGGGGGGGGGGCAGGCGCGCCAGGCCACTCGCCTGCGCACGCCACGGAGCAGATCCGCAGTGGCGCGGACGCACGCAGAAGGCGGCTCGAAAGGGCCCAGATGTCAGTGCTCACATGTTCGGCCGACGCGGCAGGTCGTGGCTGCGCGTGCGGGCGCACGCCCCCTCGGACACGAATATCTCCAGCTCGCGGCGTGTGCCACGCCTGCTGCACCCGGAACTGCCTTCCCCCCTGCCCCTGCGACACCCTGGAGCACACGCCCACCCTCCCGCGTGCTCATCCTACACATCCTGCAACTCCGCTGTGGGAGGATTTTGGACCGTGGTAGGCTACACGTGGTCTCTCGGCCTCTCCACACCGCCCCTATACCAACAACTGCTGTGCCAAAGATTGCACCCAGCAGTGTGCACGTGGGCAGGCGGGAGCCCGCGACCCAGCGTGCACGAAGTGGAATCGCACCAAGCCCCTTCAGGGCGTGAGTTGTCAGAGGGAAACACGACGTCGAAGATCTGGGTCATGCCCTCTCTCTGAATTACTCGAAGAAGCTTCCAAGAATCATGGGAAGAAACTCCGAGAGATATCCAAGAGGCCTCTGGCCATTCTGTACACCCTTCTCCTCCTCCTCCTCCTCCTCCTCCTCCTCCTCCGCGTGTTCCTCTCTCTCCCTCCTCCCGATTCCCCGCCCCCCTCCCTCTCCCCCTCCCCCTCCCCCTCCCCCTTTTCTCCTCCTCCTCCTCCTCCTCCTCCTCCTCCTCCTCCTCCTGGCTCAAGACCGCGGCCTCTGGGGGCCGTGGTCACCACTGCACTGCGCCTCTGGGGGCCGTGGTCACCACCAGGGTGTAGGGCTCAAACCCGCGCTTCCCCCTGCCCCGCCTGTTTCTCCCCAGGCGCAGGCTGCGACTGGGAGCGTTTCGCCCGCTGCAGAAGATAGCGCCTGTCATGACGTCCAGTGCGCCGCCCCCGCGTGCGGCCCCGAGGACGATGTCGGGCGGCGCTGCACGCCGGGCCCACCTGCGCGCCACGCATGCGCGGAAGGCCCAGCAGGCCAGCCACCGTCTGGCTGGACTCTTGGCGGCAGGACCGCCACCTGGCCTGTGCTGCGACGACTTCGCCTACGTCTATGCGAAGCAGCACGCCTTTGAGGAGCAGTACGCCTTCGAGGAGCAGCACGCGGTCACGGAGCACTTCGCCGAATTCGGCCACTGCGAGTTTGTCGCGGACGCCGTCCCCAGCCACCTGGGCGACGGCCTCAACACCGCTCCCGCACATCGAGGCCATGATGGCGCTCAGCTGTTCGCTCCGAAGGACGACATCGACAAGAGGCGGGAGACAACCTGGCGCCCGCCATCTCCGACGGGGAGCCTGAGGCTTCTCAGCAGCGCATCGGCTCCGCTTCCCCAGCTGGACTTCGTGCGGGCCCTCAAACCTCTGGAGCGCGAGCTGGCCGTTAAGGAGTTCATGGCAATGGTGCCGACCGAGAGCACCGATATGCAAGATGACCTGCCCACCGTGGACAGCAAGGGGCTGAACGACACCACTTGCGAGAACCAGGTGTGCATCGACCTATAGAGGGCCGATCTGGGTGGGGCCGACAAGGAGGTCATCGACTGGCGTGCCGAGGCGGATGAGGAGCCGCTGGAGCAGCCCGTCGTGGAGGCTTTGGACAAGCGCGTCGAGGACCACCCGATCAGCGACCACAAGGGGCTGAGCGACACCACCTGCGGGATTCTCGAGCCAGCGAAAAAGGACGCCGTCGACCCGTGCGGCGAGACGGCCATGGAGCAAACGGCCCTCGTGTGCGATACCACTTGCGAGAGCCATCAGCATCAATGGAGAGCATGTGGCATAAACGGCGAATGGGAGGACTTCACCTCCTGTGACAACTTCGGCGATAATGAGCCGTTGGAGGCCAGATACCAAAGGTTTCTGTCTGGTCGCATCGACGCCAAGATTAAGATGAAGCTGAAGAAGCACCTGTTCAAGGTGGACTTCCGTAGCATGAGCTTGCGGGCCGTCAATAGGAACGGCCTCGGCGACCGACTGCGGCTCTGCAGAGAGCTGCTGTAGTCGAATCTGGATAACTGCTCTGTGCAGTGCATAAAACATGTGCGATCAGGTAGAATACCACTCTCTGGTGCTTCCCTGGTCTGTGATGGGTTTCTCACATGCCCCCTGAGGGTCGTCGGATCTCATTCATCAGATGGCGGATGCCACCGCGCATCCCCGCCGTCGCTGCGAGCCGATTACGATTCGACTCGAACCACCCCACCAGCCATGTGCGTGTTATCCTCCTCCTCCTGCCCCCCCTCCTCCCCCTCCTCCTCCTCCTCCTCCTCCTCCTCCTCCTCCTCCTCCTCCCCCTCCGCATCCCACTCCTCCTCCTCCTCCTCCGCCTCCCCCTCCGCCTCCACCTCCCCCTGTGGTTCCTCCTCCATCCTTCCCCTCTTGGGGTATTACGGCTTCCTTGGCCCGTTATTCCACTGCATGCCCCTTCACATCCCTGATCAGAGCAAGTCGCCTGGGCATCGCTTCTGGATGGGCTGATGGGCTTACGCGCAGCGTCTAGAAATCCGACCCAGCAGTGTGGATGGTTGTGCACGGAGGGCAAGGAGTGAACCCGTCGGCGGGCGTGCAGAAGGACTGCTTTGTGCCGGGGTGTGGAAGAGAGAAGCAATAGCACACACACGCGCACACACTCCCCCAGTCATTACCCCCCTCTTGGACGCCCCCGAGCTTCGGCGCGCACGCGCCCTTGGCCCGGGCGCGTTCGCGGCGTGGAAGCCGCACGAGTCGAGGCCGTGCAGCAGGTAGTTCCACCTTCCGCCAATCCCCGGGGCACCCAGCTCTGCGCGTCGCGCTCCCCAGTGCGTGACGCGCGCGTCCCCCGCGCCCTCGCGCCCCTACACGCGAAGCGCGCGCACGGCAGGTTCGCGTCGTGCCGACTTCGGCGTTGACTCCTGAAACTGAGGATGGGCCCTGGGACACACAAACAAATGATCCCAGTGCGACCCTACCTAGGAGTTGGAGCACCTAGGAAAGCAACATCTACATCTACACCGATGGCTACATTAATATCTACACCTGCATCCACATCTGCATCAGCATCAACAGCGGGACTCCATCTACATCTACATCTACTCAACAACCGGGAGTCTGGACCCGGCCCTGGCCACGGCAGGGGGGGCTCGCCCTTCAAAATGGAACTCTCGCCAGGGCTTCCCTGGAGGGCCTCTTGAGAAATCCCGAAAGGGGGCGCCGTGTGAGGCGGGGCCCGGGGCCCCCTGGAGGCTGGGGGGGCCACCAGAGCAGGCGCGGAGGATGGAGAGAGGGCGGCTCCAATGAGACCCCCACCCCCCTCAATGAGGGTCCTGAATGCAAGGATAACATACATATCTCGCTGTACCGAAACAGAGACCGACAGCACTAATCAAACCCTGGTCTCCCGGGCACCCCCGTGAACAGAATCGCGAGGCGACTTCAGCGCTGGCTACGAGAAGGGTCGCCAGAGGGGCCGAAGAAGGTGGTGCATAAACATCAACATGTGTGTACGTACGTGTGTATGTATGTATGTGCGTATGTGCGTACGTACGTACGTACGTATGTATGCATGTATGCTTGTTTGCATGTATACGTGTATGGATGTACAGGTGTATAGGTGTATGTAAATATGCATGCGTGTGTGTATGTACGTATGCATGTATATGTGTATGTATGTATGTATGTATGTATGTATGTCTGTATGTCTGTATGTCTGTATGTATGTACGTATGTACGTATGTACGTATGTATGTATGTATGTATGTATGTATGTATGTATGTATGTATGTTTGTGTGTATTTCATCAGCTCATTTTCCTCCGCGTCCGAGCGTCAATCCATGCATCGTCTAGACCGTACCTACACAGAAGACTGCTCGGGCTGTGCAGCACGGGGACTGCGCAGCACGGGCTGTGCAGCACCGTGGAAAGAGACAGGCCTCCATGAGACGCACCAAGAGACGCGGGCAGGCCTGCAGCACCTGCACAGCACGGCTTGTGCAGCACCCAAGAGACACGGGCTGTGCAACACCGTGGAAAATGACGCACTCATCGCCCGAGGTTACGGAAGGCACTGCTTGCGGGGGCTCCGGTCCGGCCATCGAGGGTAGCTCGGCATCTGCCGCACATTGCTTTTGCTTTGCCTTTCCTTTGCTTTGCTTTTGCTTTTGCTTTGCTTTGCTTTGTGTTGCTTGTGCTTTGCTTTGCTGTCGCTGATGTTGCTTTGCCTTTGCTTTGCTGCTATGCTATGCTATGCTGTGCTGTGCTGTGCTATGCTATGCTATGCTATGCTATACTGCGCTGTGCTATGCTGTGCTGTGCTGTGCTATGCTATGCCAGGCTATGCTCTGCTGCGCTATCCTATGATATGCTGGGATATGCTATGATATGCTGTGATCTGCTATGCTATGCTACGTTATGCTATGCTGTGCTCTGCTATTATAAAGCTCAGCGGAGCTAAGATGATGAAGGTAAGCTAAGCTAAGATAAACTTGAGCTAAGATGAAGCTAAGCTAAGCTAAGATGGAATAAACTAAGCTAAGATGAGATAAGCAACGTCGCTAAAGGGACGTAACTGGGGGAACCGCGGGGCGGATACTGGGGGAACCGCCCGGGGCGCTTTCCACTGCCCGGCCCCATTAAGCCCAGAGAGTAAGAACCCTTCTAGGCAGAGCCTAGGTAGGGAATAAACACAGATAAAAGGATTCCCCATATTTTCCAACATTTCCTGGGTTTCTGCCTTCCCCCCCACTGCCCATATTTCTTATATTTGCTGGGAAATCGACGATTAATGGTGTCTGTGTGGTTTTTTCCCTCCTGAGAGGACCGGTCAACCCTGAACGATCGCCCGTTTTTCAAACGTCCGATCGTTCAGGATGGAGCGATTCTGGGCCGCCGCCGGCGTTCAGCGTTGAACGCTGGCGGGGTCGCCGCCGGTCGACAGGACGCGAACCTACCGCGGGGGACCTGGCCATCCAGGACCAGCTCAGGGCCTAGGGTCGGGTCGGGCGAAAGGGGGGGATAGCAAAGGGGGGGGTTGAGAATCAGCTCACGTAGCTGATTTTCCCGGCGCCTCCCGGCGCCGGGAGGCGACTATGTATCGAGGAATGGGCCCCTCGGTGGGGCCGAAACCAGCTGCATGCAGCAGATTTCGTAACCCCCCCTTTCCCAATCCCCCCCTTTCGTCTGGCCCGAGTCTAGGGGGGCGGGTGACATCGACCTGGAACCGGCGACACGTCGGCCGATAGCGAACCCGCAGGCTCCTGGGCGGGGCGGGCTACTGGGGCCCCGTCGGCGACGATTGGGCGATGGGTGGTCGATGCATCCCCCCCTGAGCCTACCCCCCTACCGTCGGGGCGTTGACCTAAGGAGCCCTAAATAAGGAACGAGGCCCCTTTTTTCCATAAGTTGACCTTCGGTTTCCCATCGAAAACCTTAGGAAGACCCGAGGCAAGCCGCGAAACACTTAAGGAACGCGGAGCCCCTCCCCAACCAAAAGGGTTCCTTCTTCAGGGCCCCGACTGTATTGTTGCTCCTCATCCCTCCCTCGCTCGCTGCCCCGGCCAACCTTTGAGAGAGGCTCACTCGGTGGCCGAGGGGGGGAAGTGAGAAGGAAGGCGGGACTCCTTAGAAGTCTTCGCGCCGTCTGAGAATTGTTCTGTGCCTCTGGGGAAGGCTCAGGAACTTTCTCAGAAGGCCGGGAGACTTCGGAGCCTTCCACCTTGCAGCCGTGGCGCGTCCACGGGGCTCCTGGGGAACCCAGAAAATACTGAAACAACTACTCCCTGGACCTCTCCCGTGGTGCGCTCTGACCAGGACTTCGAGGCGAATCTGGCGGTGGCGACGAGGGCCTCCGAGGAGGCCCGAAAAAGGAAAAACGAGGGAAGGGTAGCGGTATGGGTACAGTAGGAGCTTTACCACAAGAAACCTTCCACAAGAGACCCGACCCTGAGACCCCAAGACGTCCATTGATTTGGGGGTTGCAACGGCACGCTCTCCATAGCAAACACCTCGAAACCCAAGAAACCCAGGGCCCCCTGGAGACAAGCAGGGTGTCTCTTGGCATGGGCCCCCACAATGACGAACCAACAACACACACCCATACCCATAGGGGGGTCGGAGAGGGCTATGGGTGCGTGTTGTCGAGTGGGGGTCCCCGCTCGAACGGGAGCGTTCCCAAGGGTCCGACAACCCGCACCCGTACCCATAGCCAGTCCTCCTCCCAACGACCCCCCCCCTATGGGTATGGGTGTGTGTGTGTTGTTCGTTCGTGACACAATACCTTTTTCCTCCTCGGAGCGTCCCCGCGGGTTCAGGCGCCCCTGCGCAGCGCCGCCCGTGGCAGGCGCGAGGGCGACCGACGCGTCTCCCGCGTCGGGGCCGCACGGACCCGGGTCAACACAGACCTTGCCTTGGGTCGGGCATGTCCTCCTACAGGCGGATGTTGGACGAAACATTCACCATAGTCAAACAATACCCCAAGGATGCGTAGGAGTAGTAGGAAAATCGTCCCCGAACTAGTTAAACTTCGTTTGAAGATTTCCCCTTTAGAAGGACATGCCCCTCTTAAGCCTTGCAGGATCCTGCACCCAAACCCGGGTCAGTGCGCCCCTGGACCTGCAGGATCCTGCAAGATCCGGCGCTCTGGCAAACCCCCCTTTGCACTGACCCGTGCCTCTTGAGCCCCGACCGAATTGGTTAGCAGAGTCTCCAGGTAACAGTGATCCTCCTCCTCCTCCTCCTCCTCCTTCTCCTCCTCCCACTCCCACTCCTCCTCCTCCTCCTCCTCCTCCTCCTCCTCCTCCTCCTCCTCCTCCTCCTCCTCCTCCTCCTCCATCTCCTCCTCCTCATCCTCCTCTCCTCTCCTCCCACTCCCTCCTCATCCTCTCCTCCTCCACTCCTCCTCCTGCTCCTCCTCCTCCTCCTCTCCTCCTCCTCCCTCCTCCTCTCCTCCCACTCCCACTCCCCCTCCTCCTCCTCCTCGCTCCACTCCCTCCTCCTCCTCCTCCTCCTCCTCCTCCTCCTCCTCCTC